AGAGAGAGAGAGAGAGAGAGAGAGAGAGAGAGAGAGAGAGAGAGAGAATAGTTCCTGCCCCCCAAGGAGTTTCCATTCTAAATGAGGGAAGGGCTGGCACACCTCTAGTTGAGTTTGCTGATTAGGCAGCCCCGCCCCATTCCCATCCCCTTCCTGAGCTCTGTATCACTAGAATGGCTCAAAGGCAACTTGGGGAGGAAAACTCTATAATTGTTTAATCAGTCCTTTAATTGCCCCAATCAGATTATCTCTAGTGCTCCTTTGAAGAAGGGTCTAATTTATTCACTATGCCAAGAAAGTGCTTTCCGTGGGCTCTGCTGACTTCTCAAAGTCTTTTACAAGTCAAAAATTTCCTGATAATAGGAGCTAATACAACAATATCATTTGCTGTTTTCATTCCAGAAAACAACTGTTACCCTGTATATTAAAGTTAAGGATGGTACCATTTTGGGGCGCATGACATTGGAAAGGTAAGATGACCCAGGTGGGTTTTTGGAATCTAGGTTCTTCCCCCTTCTCACCCTATGAACTTGAACAATTCATTGTTCCTTGAGGAGTACCAGTTCTCTTACTTAAAAAAATATTTTTTTAACATTCTTTTCTTTTAAAATTTTGAGTTCCAAATTCTCTCCCTTCTTCCCCCACCTCCTCCATCCACTAAGAAGACAAGCAATAAGATATCAATTATACATATGAAGTCATGCAAAATATTCTTCCATATTAGCCATATTTCAAAAAGAAAGCAAGAAAAATAAAGTGAGAAAATTATATTTCAATTTGAACTCAGAATTTATCAGTTCTCTCTCTGGAGGTAGATAGCATTTTTTTTTTTGGTCATGAGTGCTTTGGAATTGTCTTGGATTACTATACTGATCAGAGTAGCCAAGTCTTTCACAGTTAATCATCATTACAACATTGCTATTACTGTGCACAATAATCACTTGGTTCTTCTTACTTCACTTTGCATCAGTCAGTGCATATAGGTCTTGCCATGTATTTTTTTTTCTGAAACTACCCCCCTTGTCATTTGTTACAGCACAATTGTATGCCATCACAATCATATGCCACAACTTGTTCAGCCATTACACAATTGATGAGCATCCACCATATTTCCAATTCTTTGCCACCACAAAAAGAGCTGCTATAAATATTTTTGTACATATAGGTCCTTTTCCTTTTTCTTTGCTCTATTTGGGATATAGATCTAGTAGCAGTATTGCTGGGTCAAAGGATAGGCACAGTTTTATAACCCTTTGAGCATAGTTTCAAATTGTTTTCCAAAATGGTTGGACCAGTTCACAGCTCCATCAACAATTTATTAATGCACCTATTTTCCCTCACTCCCTCCAGCATTTGTCATTTCTGATAGGTGTGAAGTGGTACCTCAGAGTTGTTTTAATTTGTATTTTGCTAATCATTTGGGATTTAGAGTATTTTTTTATATGACTATAGCTTTGATTTCTTCTTCTGAAAACTGCCTGTTCATATCCTCTGACCATTTGCCAATTGGGGAATGGCTCTTATTTTTATAAATTTGACTTGGTTCTATACTCAGTATATATTTGAAAAATGAGGTCTTTATCATAAATACTTGCTGTAAAATTTTTTGATATGACTTTATTGTCTATGGTACCTGTTAGCAAAATGTAGTTTCCCTGAGTATCTCTTTTAATTAGGTCTGTTTTTGCTTTTGCTTTGTCTTTGTCTGAGATCATGATTGCTGCTCCTGCCTTTTTTTTTTTACTTCAGCTGAAGCATATTAGATTCTGCTCCAATCCCTTATTTTAATTCTCTCTGTGTCTTTCTATTTCAAATGTGACTCTTGTAAGCAATATATTGTTGGATTCTGGTTTCTAATCTGTTCTGTTATCTGCTTCTGTTTCACGGGTGAGCTCATCCCATTCACACTCGCCATTATGATTACTAACTGTGTTTCTTTCTATCCGATTTTCTTCTGTTTATCCTTCTTTGAATCAATTCCAATGAGAGGTTCAAGCATTGCCTGCCAACCCCCCAAACATTTTCCTATCCATTGTAAAAGTTCTTTATTACACGTCTCTTTTATGTGGGAAGATTTTTCCCTAGTCTGTTTCTCCCTTCCCCCTTCTCCCAATGCATCCCTCTTTCTTTCCCCTTCATTTTTTTGGAGATCATTCCAATATCATCAACTCACACCCATGCCTTCTGTCTATGTAAACTCCTTTTAACTATCCTAATGATGATAAAGTTCTTAGAAGTTGAATGTATCATCTTCCCACATAGGAATACAAACAGTATATGTTGAATCCCTCCAAGTAGAATGTAAATTACATGAAGACAAGAACCATTTCGTTTTTACCTTCGTATCTCCAGGGATTAGCACTGTGTTTGGCACATAGTAGATGCTTAATGTATTTCTGATGAATAGAATTAAATATGGTGAGGCCTTCATTCAGAACCTATTACTATTCTATTTCTTCCCAACATCATTTTGACAAGTTTAATTTTTGCTATGATGCATGGACTTAATATTCTTTGAGTTTGTTTTTTTTTTTTTTTAGCATAGTAGAGCTTGGGGTAAATATAGTTGTGAATCTGCTAAGCATAGAATATATGGCAGCAAGGTCCCACCTTTTTGAGAATAAGCTACATTTTGAAAGACCAATATAAATGGGAGCTATTATTATTTTTATTATTCTTTCTTCAGATACAAGTGGTCTTTGTGGGGGGAGGAGGAAGGAACAGAGAGACTCTTGATGACCATAAGTTTCCAAGATATAGCAGGGAACTGGCCAGGCAGCTAGCTATACTTTCTTCCTTACTGAAAAGCATACCAAATGATGAAGTTGGAGACTTGTTACTGGAAATGAGCTTGAACCTTTATCAACAAGAATAATAGTGCACTCAGGTTCACAAAGGGCCATAGGCCCTTGCAACTGGGCTGTGAGCTCAGTGGTGCAGTTATTACTCCCATTTTAAAGATAAGAAAACAGCCTCAGAAATGGGAACTTGACTCTTAAATGGCAGAGCTGGGATTCCAGACTAAGTGTTTTGATACAAATGCTATGTCTCCAGTTTGGTTGGTTGATCCTACTCTATTGGGCAGGAACCCCTTTTCTACAGAAGGCTTTGTGAGAATTAAGTATTTCTAATTTCTCTCTTCTGCCCCTGCTTCCTTCCAATTTGAACTCCAAACCAATTTGAACACTTTCCTCTAATTCCCAAAGTCTGCCCCTCTAGGTATTCTGATACTTGAAAGGTCTGGAATTCAACTATCTCCTTTTCTCCTCTCCCTTCTCTACCTTTTCTACAGCCTCGGTGTGGAATTGAAGCAATCATATATTGACCATTTCCAGGTGAGTCTAAGGGAGAATTAGCAGCTTTCTGGACTCAAGGCTGGGAGGGGAAAGCACCTTGTAAACTATTAAGTGCTGTAGAGACGTGAGCAGCTTTTGCTATTTCATGGTCTCCATGGGAACTGCTCTGAGGACCACATCCAGATTTATAAAAAAAATTAGGATGGGACATGGAAAGTAGGTGCATGGAGAGATTTCTTGGGAATACATGAGCTTGGATTAGAAAAAAGAAAATCTCATTTTTATTTTCACTAACTTCTAACTGAAATTTAGCATTTCTTTCAATTATGAATTAAAAAATATTCTGAGAAGGTTTCATCAGAGTAAAACTGTTCTTTCCCAGACTTCCAGAGGGGTCCATGACACCAAAAAGCTTTAGAACCCCTGAATTAGTTAATCTTTAAATCCTTTTCCACTCTAAATCCTATGATTTTTGAGATCATAGACAAAATAATTGAGTGATTAAATTCTTCGTTTTTTTCTTGCTGAGGTAAAATGGATTTAAGGAAACTTGGTGGGATGGTGTATAGAGTATTAGGCCTGGAGTCAGGGAGACCCAAATTCAAATCTGGCTCAGACACTTACTAGCTGTGTGACCTTGGGTAAATCACTTAATCCTATTTGCCTCAGTTCCCTCATCTGTAAAATGAACTGGAGAAGGAAATGGCAAACCACTACAGTATCTGCCAAAAAATGGGGTTATGAAGACTCAGACACAGCTGAAATGACTGAACAAAAACAACAACAAAAATGGATTTAGAGCTGGAAGGGAAGTAAGAGGATATCTAGTCTGCCCCCTTCATTTTATGGATGAGGAACCTGAGGACCAGAGGGGTTAAGTAACTGGCCCAAGGTCACACAGATAATAAGTTACAGAGTCAGGATTTGAACCTAGATCCTTCAACCCAAAGAAGAGTACTGTGGTGCCTCAGCAGTGCTTTGAACACAGAAGATGTATTCTTTTTTTTTTTTCAGAATCAAGCACACATTTATTTTACATGTAACTTATATGTTTTAAATTATGTCTCTGTATGCAGATAGCTGTATAATAAGTAGTCTAAGGCTGATTGTTTCTGTGGTTGACATTTGATGTTCATGAGACCGAGGTCATGGACTCAATTGGATCTGCCCTCTGGCCACAGGCTACTTCTTCAACTAGGCCAGTCTCCTCACAAATGTGTGTCAGAACTGCCTGATCTAATGCAAACCAGCTCAACAGCATTTATTATATGGTTACTCTGTGCATAGTACTATGCTAGGCATTGGGGATACCAAAGAACAATCCCTGTCGTCAAGGAGCTTAAGTTCCATTGCCATGAATTACAAAGAGAGACTGAGCGAGTGTGTGCACCACATTTCCACTGCATGGAAAACAGCTTGAAGTGCTGATGATGGGTCAGTAGAGGCCCCTCTATAGCCAACGGACAATTCTATGTTGAATTAGGGAGGTTACTCTATCCTTGCTTGCTTTTTCTTGACATTCCAGCTCTTCTTCAAATCCCAGATTTGGAAGGGAACCCAGAAGTGGTCTTATTTAAAGTTAGTTACCTCTGCACATGGTTCCTTTTCTCCTGGGTTTAAGTCAATCAATTCATTATAATTATAAATAATTATAATATTACCCTTATAGCTATAGCATTTTCCATTTTACAAAGCAATTTACACATGACAGGACAGCTAAGTGGCTCAATGGACAAAGTGCCAGGCCTGAAGTCAGGAAGACTCATCTTCCTGAGTTCAAATCCGGCCTCAGACACTTGCTGGCTGTGTGATCCTGAGCAAGTCACTTAACCCTGTTTGCCTCAGTTTCTTCATTTGTAAAATGAGCTGGAGAAGAAAATTACAAACTACTCCGTTATCTTTGCAAGAAAACCCCAAATGGGGTCACAAAGAGTTGGACATGACTGAAACAACTGAACAACAAAAATTACTGGTGATAACTTGGTGAGGAAAGGGGTGCAAGTATTATTACCCTCATCCTACAGTTTATGTAAATTTATAACTTGTTTTCCCTCATTCAAATGTAAGCTCTTTGAAGGCAGCAGTGGTCTTTCCTTCTATTGTTATTTGTCTTCACAGAATTTTGTGAATAGAGTTCTGGGCCTGGAGTCAGGAAGACCTGAATTCAAACCCAACCTCAAACACTTCCTAACTGTGTGACCATGGGCAAGCCATTTAACCTCTGCTTGCCTCAGTTTCCTCATTTGGAAAATGAGGGTAGTAAGAACATCTATTTCCTATGGTTGTTGTGAGGATAAAATGAGATAATAATTTCAAAGCACTTAGCGCAGTGCCTGGCACATAGTAAGTGCTATAGAAATGTCAATTATGATCATTATCATTGCACAGTGCCCAACACTGAATAAATGATTAATGAATGCTTGTTAAATGACAGTTGGGAAAACTGAGGCCCTTAAAGGGGGAAAAGAGTTGCCAAAGGTCACATGGCCAGGAAGGGGAAGAACCAGGATTTAAACTAGGTCTCCTGTTTCATGGCGTGGGCTTTTCCTACTGTATTCTACCACTTCCTTTTTCGTGCTCTAAACGGAAAGCTCTTTTCTTCCCTTCGTTTGATGGTATTGACCTTGGGGGGGGCGGCGGGAGGGTAGGGAGGCGAAATCTGCAATCTCATTTGGGACAGGGTTGAAGCTCTTGGGGAGAGGGGGAATGAGGAATGGAGGTACGGCGGGGTACTAGAATCGCCTAGTTGGGGCTTTGGGCATTAACTATCTCTTCTTCCTCCTTTCTCTTCACAGGTATCCCTGCTACAGGACCCTTTTACTTATTACATGTCCAAAATTTGGCTCCCTATAATTAATGGTAAGGAGTATTGGAGAATTGACTGGCCTTAGGTCCAAATGGACCCTATGGAAATAGCAGAATCCTCTACCTATCCTCCTCTTCCCCTAGGCTCTAGTAATGATCCCTATTTCTGCGGTTCTCTAATGTTTATCAAGCGCTGTCCTAACAACAACCCTGTGAGATAAGTGATACAAATATTATTATCCCCATTTTGTAAATCAATCGACCGATTACTAAGCCTTTATTAAGCATCTTCTATGTGCCAGGCATTGTGCCAAATTCTGGGGATGAAAAAGACGGACCCTGTCCTCATGGAGCTTATATTCTATTGGGGAAGATAACATGTGCACCTAGAAGTATAAACAATATGTATCCAATGGCACTAGAAACTGGGGCAGAGGTGGGGAAAACATCACCTTAAGGCCACATTTTCCCCACCCCTAAGCTGGGGGATGTGGGAGAGTGGCAGAGAATCCTGAAAGGCCTTATGTAGGAGGTAAGCTAGGCCTAGAAATTCTAAGAGGCAGAGAAAACTAAGAGAGGAGCAGTAAGTGGATCCAGTGAGCGCCCAGTCCACTGGATCAGTACCATTCTGAGCAGTACCACAAGGAGAAGCTCACAACGCTGGGCTTTCTTTGTTTTCACTGCTGTACAGTTGTCAGAGGTTGTCCATCTGTGCTATGTGACATTGGATGCGCTAATGAAGATGGGTCTGTCTACTCACGTGCTAGGTACCAAAACCAGGTTGTATTCCTAGGTATTCATTCCTGGTAAAGATTTAGCTGATCACTTTAAGGTATTGCATGCTACCTAGCTGGAAGGCCCAATTCAAGTGCTTCCTCTGTTATGACTTGTCACTGATTCCAATACTCACCCCGCAACCTCCTCTGACCTTACACAGTTTGTACCACTGTAATGTACAAAATACGCAGTACCATGCAGCAAAGCTCTCTGTCATAACATATTACCCCACCCCCACCAGACTGTGAGCTCCAAGAGCTCAGGGCCCGGTTCTTATCTCAACTTTATAATTGCTTTCGTGCCTAGCACAGGGTTCTACGTGCAGTAGGTGCTAGATGTTGGATGTCCAAAGTGCTGGGTTAGGAGTCAGGATTTGGGTTCAAATCCTGGTTCTTCTGCTTACTTCCTATATAACTTGGGAAGTCATTAACCTCACTAGACCTCAATTTCTTTCCAACTGTAAAATGGCAGGGTTGGGCTGTTCTACAGGGATGGGGAACCTGTGGCCTCAAGGCCACATGTGGCCCTCTAGGTCCTCAAGTGTGGCCTTCACTGAATCCAAACTGGACTAGAAGTTACTCTCCAGTGCTAAATCTAGGCTCCTAAGACATGAGTTGCCTCTAAGGGGTTAGTAGAGGACTCTGGCAGTCAAAAAAGATCTCCAGACTCAAAGGTACATCCCTGCCTCCCTTCCTCTTCCCTGGCTCCCTATGAGAAAAGTATTTCCTTTCAGAAGTTGCCAACCTGGTAAAAAAAAGAATAAGCAGGTAGAATCTACTTTCAGCACCTCCTGTGGCACTGTTTCTTGTATCCTCTCCATCCTTCTCACTTTGTCCTCTATTTTCCTTTACAGGGAGATTGGAACAAGGTTATCCTTTACCTGTACCGGCTAACCTTCACTTCTCCGACTATATCGTATATCCTCATAAGGTTAGTAAATACCTTTTGTAGACTCAGACAGTTATATCCAGAAGGAATCTTAGAACAGCATATTAGAACATAGGTTTCCATCAATGGAAGACCTTAGATGTCACCTCATCCCACCCCTTCTTATAATTGAGGAGTCAATCAAGGGGATATGACTCATCCAAGGTCACACAATTGATAACAAAGAGATGAGCTATGATTTGAACCCAGACCTAAAGGGTTCTAAGGTTAGTGCTGTTTTTACTGCACCATACTAAGTGTCCCACACTTATCTACACACAGTAACAATGTAGCTCTTTTACTATTTAAAGGCAGTGAAAGAACAAGTTATAAAATATCTAAATTGAGAGTTCATCGACCTATACTTGATAGGTACCACTCAGCCCCAAGATGGTAGGAGGTTAGAGTGGGCAGAGGCAAACCTGACACATAGATCTGTGCCCATGTAGAACTATTGATCCAGTTGGGGAGATAAGATGCACACCAAATAAAAAGAATAATTTAAAAAATCTAAATTACACAATTAAAGCCCCCCCCCCACAGCAACAAGGACAATAGACTGAAAGAAGAGAGAAATCTCTTTGGGCAGTGTGGGCAGGGGCTATTTTGTAGTTTGAAACCAGGTCTTTTGATGGACAACATGGAATAGTAGAAAGAACCTTGGGTTCAAATTCCAGATCTATCACAACCTGTATTGCATTGGGCAGGTCACTGAAACTTTCTGTGCCTCAGATCCTTCACCTGTAAAATGAAGGGATTGTATATCTAGAGCTGAAAGGCAGCCCATCTAGTCCAATCCCTTCATTTTACAGATGAGAAAACTGAGACCCAGAGGGTTTAAGCAACTTGTGCAAAGTCACACCCATTCCTTGACTCCAGATCTATCTCTCTTTCCATTACACCATGTTAGACTAGATGATCTATAAAGTTCCTTCTAGGACTTTTACATATGGCCCTAGAACTCCAAATTCAGTACTTTTCCCTATGGGACATGAAAGCATTGGCCATTTGGGAGGCCTTGGCACATATGATGAAGCAAGGGGAAAGAAGGAGTCCAAGAGGACTCTGAGGTTCTAGGTCCAGGAGAAGAATGGCAGAACCCTAAGGATGCTGGCAGGGGCCAGCTGGCTTAGGTAGAAAGAGGAAGACTAATTTTCATAGGATCATGGTATTGGTGCTAGAGGAGAACTTAGATATCATTAAAATGCTAGCTTCTCCTCCTCCCCTTACCCTCTTCCAACAAAGGAGGAAGCTAAACCTCCAAGAAGCTAAATTTTAGCCATCTAGAATTTGAGATGACAAGTAGATTATCCAAGTGGAGTGCCCTTTAGGAAACTAAGGGACTATTCCGACTTGTCACTATAAGAATGGTGACATGTGTGAGCACACAATATGGCAGTACCTGGATGTTCCACTTTGTGCAAACAGCCATTTTTGTGTAGGTGAATGGTTGAGTAAAAGATGTTCATGCGTTCCCTTCTTCCCTCTTCCCAAAATTCCACCAAAGTTAGCCTGAGAATTCTCTACCTCAGACTTGTTAACTGTGGTTTTAGAAAGTTCTGAGTGAAGGAAAAGAAAAAGAGAGAAGGTTCAGTGCCTTGACTAAAGCACAGATTCCTGCAAGGGCTATCATAAGCAGAGATGAAAAATGGAGACCAAAACAACTAATCCCTAAGGCACTAGGAAGAACAGTTACCTGCTAGGTTTGCAGCAAGTCCACTGTGACAATACTACCCCAGCTCCCTGACCGATGTGGGCTCCCTCAGACCAGCCTGGCTTCCCAGCTGTAATTAGAGCCTGCATTTCCCCTACTCATTGGGATCCTGCTGTATCCTCTCCCCTCCCAACACATGGACTGATAATACTTCTTCTATGAAAACAACACATGACAACGAGACAAAGAAAGATCTTTCCAATGAACTGAATTTCCATCTCTCTCTAGCATTTCCTGGTGTTTGGGACAGATTTTATCTATTCTTGAGAGAGGCTGGCTGACTGCCGTGGTCATCCGCACATCATCTCCATCCTGTGGCACCCATCAGGATTGGTGGGGAACCATTACCAACCGTTACTCTGGAACTTGACTCACCAAGCGACACTTACAAAAGCCTCTGAATTTATAATTGGTGAATGAACTGGAGAAATGACAGTGAAAAGGGACAATGTTCAGTGGGAGGGCTTTTGTTTTGTTAAAAAGTAAGTGAACATTTTCATTGGGGTGGGAAGTTGGCAGGTTGGAGGGAATCCACTGAGGTTTTCTTCAGGTAATGTTTTTCATTATAATCTTAATATACCTTTTCCCAATAAACACAAAACCTTGACTCTCTCTATGTTAACATGCCCTGGTATATAGAAATCCTGAGCTCTACCTGCCAAGCCCCTTGGTGAAGCGTGAGGCTCTGTAATGTCTGTGTGTGGGGTGGGTGGGCATAATGGGGGAGCGATAAGGAATTGTACACAAATGGAATGGAAAAGCATTTATTAGGCACTTACTATATTTTAGGAGTGGGGCAGCTAGATGGCACAGTGAAGAAAGTGCCAGGCTTGGAGTCAGGAAGTCTCAATTTTGTGAGTTCAAACTTAGCCTCAGACACTTACTAGCTATGGGACCCTGGACAAGTCACTTAACCCTGTTTGCTTCAGTTTCCTCACCTGTAAAATGTGTTGAAGAAGGAAATGGTAAACCACCCTAATATTTTTGCCAAGAAAACTCCAAATGGGGTCACAAAGAGTAAGACATGACTGAAATGACTGAACTGACAGAACAACTAAGATGTTATAGGAATTGTGCTAAATGCTGGCAATACAATTATAAGCAAGACAGTGCCTGCCCTCAGGCAGTTTACATTCTTATAGGGGAAGATAACACAAATAGAGAAGTGGTGGACCCCAGAGAAGTGTTTTGATGGTGTTGATTTGATTACTATTCTTACTAGATGAAGAAACAGAGGGGATAAGGTATAGGAATGGCACACATGTGGCAGCATGACATGGAGATAACTAGGTTGTAGTATGGTGGTGTTGAGTCTATGGTATATTTTTACCAATCAGAAACCTAGAGTTCCAGGGCAGGAACTAAAAGTGCTCTGTTGGAAGCAGAAGCTGGAGCAAAGGAAGATGTCAGCTTGAGGATGGCTAGGCTATCATGAGTAGCTTCAACAGGGCACTAGAAAACATGATATCCTCTTATGAGCTACTCATCCACTGTTCTCTATAGTTCCTCCACAGAGAATCAGCTGAATGAGTTGGACATCTTCTAGATCTGTTTACAATTTTGGGTATCGGTGTTCAGGCTAACTAGTCTAATCCTCTCATTTTATAGAGAAGAAAACTGAGGCCTAAGAGAGGTTGAGTAAGTGACTTGCCCAAGGTGCCTTGTCTTCAAACCCAGTTCTCTTGGTCCATCAATTATCTCTTCCTCTGGATATGATGTTGACCCACCTCCTTAATCTTGATGTTACACCTCAGTCATTCTATCTGTCAATTTATGAAATAACTACTATGTGCCAAGTGCTGGGGATACAAAGATGAAAAATGATTTAATTTTTGCATTCAAGGAGCTTATATCTTATTTGAAGAGGCAACATGTACATAAATAAATATATACAAAATAAATATAAGATGATGGGGGAACAAGAAAGGCCTCCTATAGAAGGTGGTGCTTAGGTTAAGTTTTGAAGGAAACTAGGGAATCTAAGAGGCAGAGGTGAGGAGGAAGATCATTGTAGGCATGGAGGACATCCAATGATACAAAGTTATGGGGCCATGAAATGAAGAGCCATTTGTACGGAGCAGCCATTTTGGCTGAACTGTATAATACGGAGAAAAAGAACAGTGTCCCAATGTATCCTTTGTCACATTTTGCACGTAGGTCTTTGGAAATGTATTATGTCCACCATGCTTCTCCCCACTGCACACAACACTAAAAAACATTACAAGGCAGCCATGTGAGAGATGATTTACAAGCATCTGAAAACCTGTCATATCAAAGAGAGATTAGACTTGTTCTGTTTCATTCCAGAAAACAGAACTAGGACAGGTGGCTGAAGATGCAGAAGGACTGATATTGGCTCAATATAAGGAGATAAAACAAACAAAGAAGCAAACAAACCCAAATTTTCTCACAGAGCTCCCTAAAGGGAAGAGGGAATAGGAATGAGTGGCCTTTCACTGGAGGCTGTCCCTCAGAGGGTGTATGAACACGTATCAGGGACATTATAAAGGAGGTTCTCGTTGAGGGTCGAGGTTGGGCTAGATCACTTTAGAAGTTGCCATCAACTCTTAAGATTCAACGTCATAAGACAATACATTGGAACACAGGACTTAGAGCTGAAGGAACCTCCTTAGTGATCTAAGATTCTAGATGTGGAGCTGGAAGGGACCTCAGAGGCCATCCAGTTCAATCCCCTTATTGGACAGACGAAGAAACCGAGGCCGTGTGTGTGACTTACCTGGGGTCACACAGAGAACAAGTAACAGAACTAGGATTTATCCACAGCTTTTCCCACAATCCTGTGTTATCTCCATAAGCTATGTCAAATGAGGGCTATGGGAACTTGGGGGATGGAGAGCTCCCTCAAGGTTCAAACCATGAAGGAAAGGTGTTAGAAAGTGCTTTGAACCTAGCCCTGCATCTAGATCAATTACGGAATGAGTATTAAAGAGATAAATAAGGCCATTTCAGTCTGTTCTTGGGCCCTGGCACCCCTTGATCCTTGCTAGCTATCTTATGACTGTCATTGGTTACAGAGGGAAGGGAATGGGGAAAATGAATGTGGATGACTCAGTGTTGCTCATCTCCACTTCTGGGAAAACAACTTGGTTTTGTGCTCTTGAGACTGCATTGACTCTCCAACACATCTTAGCTCCAAAGTCAATTTCACTCTTGCGGAATCTGACTCTCGAAGCCAGGGCCAACCTGCTTCTTCTTAAATGAATGAGCTCTCATGTCCTGCGGAAGCTGCTTATCATGTATCCCAAACTGTCCTTTTCTTTTCTTTTCACTGTCCTATGGTGCTGGCCCAGAAGGCCAGATGACAGCCTATAGAAGCTTAACCATTGCCTTCCCCTGCCTACTCTCCATAATGGAGGGAAACCTGCCTGCCTCTCCTCTTCTACACACACAAACAACTAATGGGGATCACAACTGAAAAGATTGATGACCATTAGTTTAAATAATAATGTTTTCTTTAAACACAAACACAAATGTTCTTAGGGGAATTACTATAACTTACAAAATTATCCTGAGAGTAATAGTCTAATTGATTTTTTTTTGGAGGGAGGGAGCAATCAGGATTAAATAACTTGACCAGAGTCACATAGCTAGTAAATGACTGAGGTCACATTTGAACTCAGGTCCTTCTGACTCCAGGGTGGTGCTCTATCCACTGTGCCACCTAGCTTCCCCAGACTGATTGATTTTTAAAGGAATAATGAAACTTATAGTTTATGTAGTTTGAACCCTGCCTTTACTTCACATTTTGCAGAGGAGGCCAGTGAGGCACAAAGGGGGAAAATGACTTACCTAGGATCATAGAGCTAGTTAATAGTATAGATCCGCAATCCTTTTTTTTCTTTCCCCTCTCTTTATCTTTTCCTTCCTCATTCTCTACTTACTTTCTTTATGAGGCAGTATAATGTATAGTGGAAAAACAAACAAACAAACATTAGATTTGAAGTCTGAAGACCAGAGATCCAATGAGAACTCTGCTTACCCTTGTACTTATCCTCTTTGATACTTACCAGTGGAGAGACCTTGGGCAAGTCACCCCTCTGTAGATTTCAGTTTCCTCATTGAATGAAATGAGGTTGGATTAGAAATTTTAGATCCCTTCCAGCCCCAAATTCTTTGATCCTTCCTTGCCTATTTTATAGGCTTCCTATTTGATTATGATGGGAATCACTGAATCAGGCTTGACTTAGAGTTGAATAGGTTGCTGAGTCTTGAGTTGGAGGTGTAATCAATGGAAACACTGTAAGTGTAAAAATAATAATAAACTCACATTTCTTTAGCTATAAGGTTTACAAAATGCTTCCCTCAAAACCGTCCTGTGATGTTGGTAGTATCAATATTATTATCCCCATAGGATCATAGACAGAGCTGAAAGGGACTTTAGAGGTCATCTAGCCCAAGCTTCTGATTTTACAGATGAGGAAACTGAGGCTGGGAGAGCTTAAGTGACAAGTCACACAGCTAGTAAATCTGTAAGGTAGGATTTGAACCCAGGTCTTCCTGACTATTAGACAAGTCTAATGCTATCTACTATGTCTCACAAAAACTAAGTCATTCAAGTGAAGTGACTTGCCTACAGTCACATAGCTAGCCAGTGTCAAAAGCAGGTTACAAACCTTGGTTTTCTGACTGCAAACCCTGCCCTCTTTCCATTCTTCCGGACTGTCTCTGTTGGGGAGTGTGCAGGGCTAGGAGGCAGCAGGAGGGGATTTGCGTTTGGTTTTTGCCACTGATTGTGGTTCACGGATCAAATCCCATAGCTTCTGTGTTCTTCTTCTGTAGAATGGGTATGATAAAAACCTGTCCTACCCACCTCACTGCGGGCTTCAATGCAGCCTTGTAGAGACTTGTTCACTGTAATAGGAAATGCCCACAGAAAATGCAGAGGGATGGCATACCATCCATCTCCAGAGCAAATTTCCTATGAAAGGCTGTCAGACTGCTGCTAGTTTCCCGTAACAATGATTATAGTTGAACTTTGCCTTTGTGGGGGTTGGGGGATTGATCCAGACACCACTGATCAATTGATTTCGTAGGATGATAAGATCATAGATTTAGAGTTGGAAGGGACCATGGAGGCCATTAAGCCCAACCTCCTCATTTGATACATGAAGAAACTGACTCTTCTCTTCTCCAGCCTTCAACCCATCTTAATGTGGCATGGTCTTAAGGTCTTGCACCATCTGGGTGTACTTCTTTGGATGTCCTCCAGCTTATGAATGTCCTTTCCAAAATGTGCCAGAGCTGGA